TGGCGGGGAGGGCGGGAGGAGGAAGAGGAGAGAAAAGTTTGCACAGGAAGGAGCCGCCTACAGCCTCTCTTGCTCCCGCGGGCTCGAGCGCCAGGGCTTGACGCTGGGCCGCCCGCGGTGCCCGCGAACCTGCAGCCGGTCCTCTCCCAAGGCCAGACACTGCCCCTTGCAGGAAGGCAGCAGGAAGGTCCCCTGGGCAGAGCACTGTACACCCAGCCAGCAGCCCGCAGCACGGGAGCTTGGGCTTCAGGAGCTGGGATGCAAGCAAGGTCAGGGTTTAAAAGATCATTTTCCGTTTGTTGAGCTGGGGGGAGGGCTGCCTTGTGCATGGGACCGTCACAAACTTGAGCAGTACAGCGGTCCTGTGTTGGAACAGAAATTATCATACCCAGTTTACAGATATGAAACTCTGGCACCAAAGGGTATTGCGGATGAGTTAGTGGCAGATCCTGGACTTTCTCTGATGTCAAGGCCAAGGAAGGGCCTTCCCTACCCTCTCCCTTGCCCTCAAAGCGTGTCTCTACCTTGCAGAGTTGCCCACATTCTTGGGTTTCTTTGTGATGAACAGATACTCATAGGTCATGTTTTAAAATAAAATAATATTACAGATTTGGTGTCTGAATCAATGCTATCCATGGGAAAGACAGGGCTCCCAGCTCCTTTGATTGGAAATATCATTATTTATTACCACTCAAACATCGTGTGGAATTTTGCAAAATGGGCAGCATAGATCTGTTGGTTCAGCAGGTGATCTCAGAATCTCAGCCCTATAGGTTTCACAGTTAGACCCTCCAAGTTGTGACTGGCCCAGAACTGAAAGGCTCAGCTCCCAGCAAGGAAGGAAGGTCCTGGGTTCACCCAGAGGCTGCAGATAAGCAGTGGGAAGAGGAGGCGATAAAGAGGGAGCCCCGTTAGGAAATAACATTGACACACAGACCTGTATTTCAGGAAATAGGCACACACTTTGCATTATTATACCATTTAATAGGAAGATCAACCCAAACAGAGAAGGTAAGAGAAAGATGGGAAAAAAAAAAAAAAAAAAACCAGGGGTACCAGCTTGAGAAGACCTGAATACACACAAAGGCTTTAGAAACAACTAGGCTGTAATAATTATAATAACTCACCCTTGGTACTTTAAAAGGGCTTTCATCTATACTTCTCACAGCATCCCTGTGGGGAGCATAGAATGATTCCAGTTTTGGTGCAAACAACGGTTGTAGGTTGGGCCTACAACCAAAGTCAAACACAATTGCATTTCCACAAAGCCAGCCATGGTTAATCTGGGCCTGCTCTAACTATGTCCTACTAACAACCTCTTTAAGTTCACGGTACTCCACGTTACTTTGCTGTCTGGATATCTTGTGTCATTTAGGATGCGTCTGTGCCTTCCGAGGATTCTAAAAAGCTGACTGCCATCAAGTTGGATCCAACTCATAGCGACCCCTCCTTGGGTTTCTGAGGGAGTATCACTATGGAAGTAGATTGCCCAACCTTCCTTCTGAGGAGTGGCTGGTGGGTTTGAACCACCAGCCTTCTGGTTAGCAGTCAAGTGCCTTAGGCACTATGCTACCAGAGCTCCCTTCTGAGGACTGGAGGTGCATTTTGGGCAGTGGACAGACCATAAGAGCATCTCCACCCTTAGAGAGAATGGGAAGGACACTTGTCAGGTGCATTGCCCACTGATCCTGACTCATCAGCATTAGGTGACCGTGGCATTTCTCACCATCGTTTGCTATCCAGTGTTTTGTGTTATGATGATGTCCCTACTCCTATGTCCACTTCCTTTCCAGTTAGCTTCCTCCTTTGCAAGCCACCTTCTCTCTGGGTCATGTACCCTGCTTGTTTTTCTGTCCCTACATATGGGCCTTGCCCCACCTCCCTCTCTGATTGTTCACAAAAATGTGAGCACTGTTCATATCCCTCCTCCAGGGTTCATGCCTCTCCCTCCTCTGGTTTATCCTCTATGTCATCTCTTCTGAAGATAAGCAAATGAATAACTGTTTTAGAAGTCTTCCCTAACTCGTTATCCAGCTAGTCACCAGTTCAGTATTTCAACCTTCATTCAATAAATACATATTTAAGTGCATTTTATGGGCCAGGCACTGTGGTAGTCACAAACCAAAAAAAAAAAAAAAAAACTGCCATTTAGTCGATTCTGACTCATAGCAACCCCCATAGCATTTCCAAGGCTGTAGACCTTTATAGCAGTAGACTGCTTCATCTTTCTTCTGCAGAGCAGCTGGTGGGATTCAAACTGCCCACCTTTTGGTTAGCAGCCCAATGCCTTAACCACAATGCCACCAGAGCTCCTTGATAGTCGCAAAAGACACTATAAACACAAGATGCTCCATGCTCTCCAGAAACCCCTCAACCCTATATCCCTCCATTGATTTTTCCTTTACCGTCAAGCTCCTTGAGAGGGTAGTATACACTTAACTATGTCCATGTTTGTTTAGTGTCCACTTTCTGTTCATTCCTTTACTAACTGTTATGTGACTTTTGCCCCCGTTACTGAATGAAACTGCTTTTGCCAAAACACTTTGGAGCTCTGAGTTGTCAGATGTACTGGAAACCTCTCAAGTCTTACCTGATCTACAGCATTCATCAATTCATCACTCTTATTTCTTGCTCCTTTTCTGAACTCTGCTTTCCTGGTATTTGGGATGCCCATCTCTCTGGGTATTGCCTACCCACTCTGACGGTTTCTTATTACCCCTTTTTCTCAGGACCTCTTTTCTCCATCTGGCCCTTACACTGTGTTCCCCAAGCTTCTGGCCTCAGTCCTTTTCTTGTCACATTTGGCATATTTTTCCTGAGAAGTATCACCTTCAGCCATGTCTTCAACTTTAACTCTGTGTGCATGACTCCCATATCTCCACCAGTAGGCCAGACTTCTCCCCAAGGCTCCAGACCTCAATACCCAACTACCTACTGGGCTGTTTTTCTAGATGTCTTCTTGACACTTGGCAGTCAACAAGCCCAGAGCTGAACTCCTCTACCTCCTCCATTAACTTCTTCTATCTATTCTGTGTTTTACATGAACATCCCCAGAGTTGGTTTCTTCCTGCTAGTCCTGCTGCTCCCCTTCAGTTGGAGGCTACATCTTTTTTTTTTTTTTTTGCCTTTAGAGAAACTCTCTGTCTCTAGACTCACTTTCTTCAAGTCTGTTCCCAATCTCACTACTAGGATCTTTCCAAGATGCTCATAAGACTTTGTTCCTCCTCCATTTACATTTCTTCAAAACAAGTGTCCATTGTACACAGGAAAAAAGTGTATATTCCTTAGCATGGTATGCTGGGGTCCTAGAGCATGTCCCCAACCATTTCCTCATTGCCGTTATATGTACTCTTCTCCCTAGCCTTGCACCCTCATTTCCTCTGCTTGCAACAGAACTCTCCTCCTTCACTCTCCCTTGAGCAAACTGCCTGTCCACCATTCATTCCTCCAGCCTCAAGTCAAGTGTCACTCCACCTAGGAAACTTTCCTGACACCTCCCTGACCTACAAGCCAGGAAAAGTGCTGCCATGAAAAGTGCCATGACACCCTGTGTGTGCTTCTGTTATTTCAGTTTTCATACAGGATTGTGGTGCTGGGGCACTGATCTACATTCATTTTTAACTTGAGCATCAAACTGGTCTCTGGGAGAGATAGAGACCAAAGCTGGCCCACAGTTTTGAGACTATCCTACCCTTTCCCTCTGTGGTGGTGGTTGTGGTGGTGGTGGTGGTGTTAAGTCCTGTTGAATTGGTATTTGACTCATCAAGATCCTAGGTGACAGAGTAGAACGGCCCTATAGTGTTTTCTAGACTGTCATCTTTATGGGATAAGATCACCAGGTCTTTCTCCCCGGGAGCCATGGAGTGAAAACCGATTGCTTAACTGTTGTGCCACCAGAGCTCTTTTCCCTTTATAGGGCTGGGCTACAAAAGTAAGCACCTTCCTCTCCTCCTTCCTTCCTCTCACACTCATGTTTTGTTATATATATATATATATTTAACCACAATGAAAGTTTTCTTAAAAAAAAAAGTAGAAAAATGATCAGCCTACGTTTCCTTCCCTTCCTTTTCCTTTAGGACCAACCCAGTCAAATTCCTTTAAGTGGCCAAGATCTTGGGCAAACAGAGACCTACTTTGGTATTGTTCTGTGTATAGAGATTTCTCCTGTTTGGGGACCTTGAACTCACAAATGAAAACAAAACAAAATGTTAAAGTGTTATTATTTGGCTCCGAGGAATCAAAGAACTAGGACCCCTCTGAAACGGAGACAAGATAATCTTTTATCCCTTCTTGACAGGTCACCAATGAAAAACAAAGATGAGTTTAAGGGTTGTCTTTGGGACCTGGTAATTTCTGTTGTGTTTGTTTTTAAGTTGAATCCTCAAAAAGGAAGCAAGAGGAAACAAAAATTAGCTTTAGTTATTTGATGAGATTACACCTTCAGAGAAATAAGACAATGCGATTTCCTCATAGATTATCTGCTATATTTTATCTCAGAATAGCATCCTATCACAGGATTTCTTCTAAAGGCTGAGGTCTGTTCCTGGGAAGCAGGAGAGCAAGGGAGCAAAAATAGAAGTTAGGGAAATCACGAGTGAAGCAAGGAGTGTGGTAGGAGGAGAAAGCAAAAGTAAATAGACAGTGAGGTCATTTCTCCCGGTATGACTACTTCCAAGGAATAAATGGGGTGATCTGATGGAAAGACAGGGAGCAGGAGTGAGTTCAGCTTGGGTGATCAGGTTATCTGAGGATATGACATCAGTCATACCAAGAGCCCAGAGAAGACCACTGCAGGCTGAGGGACCAGTAGATGCAAAACCTTTGGTGTGAGAATGAGCCGTGGAAAGAAAGCCAACGAGCTGGGACGTGTGAGCAGAAGGACTGATGATATAGATAACACCGAGAGGTAAGCGGGACCCAGCTCCTCCCGGGCTCTGCAGACTATGGACTATGGTCCTAGTGGAATGAAGTGTTCTTGCAGGAGAATGGCATGATGTGAATTACATTTTTAAAAACATCATTGTGTGTGTGTGTGTTTTTTTTTTTTTTTAATGGAATTACCAATGAATTTAGGAGCCCTCATAGCACAGTGATTAAGTGCTCTCCTGCTAACTGGAAGATTGGCAGTTCAAACCCACCAGTCACTCCAGGAGAGAAAGATGTTACAGTCTGCTTCCATAAAGATTAGTCTTGGAAACCCAAGATGGGGAAGTCCATCTCTGTCTTCTGGGTAGCTGTGTGTTGGAAATGACTTGATGGTAAAGAATTTACAGCTACTGATGAATTGGAGATGGGGAAGGAGGGAAAGAACAGATCAGTTACCACTCTAAGATTTTTACCTTGAAAATAAGTGGTAAATTGTTTGTTTTTTTTAAGGAATAGAAATGAGGAAGGGTTTTTATTCAATATTTCAAAATGAAACATAAACAATAAGTGTTGGCGAGGTTGTGGAGAAACTGGAATTCTCATCCATTGCTGGTAGAAATGTAAAATGTTATAGGTACTATGGAAAATAGTTTGGAAGTTGCTCAAAATGTTGGACATAGAACTACCATATGACCCATGAATTCTACTCTTAGGTGTACACTCAAGAGACTTGAAAGCAGTGACACGAACAGACATGTGCACCAACACTCACTGCAGCACTATTCACAACAGGCAAAAGGTAGAAACTGAAATGTCCATCAACAAATGAATGGATAAATAAAATGTGATTGATATAAATAAATATATACATATATACACACACACACACACATATATAGGTATGTATGTATATGTACATACTTACAATGGAATATTATGCAACATTTAAAGAGAAATGAAATTCTAATGCAGGTGACATCATGGACAAAACTTGAAAACATTATTCTGAGTGAAATAAGTCAGTCACAAAAGGACAAATACTATGTAATCTCACTCATATGAGGGAGCTTTGGTAGCATAGTGCCTAAAGCATTTGACTGCTAACCAGAAGGTTGGCAGTTCAAACTCACCAGCCACTCCTCGGAAGGAAGACTGTGCAACCTACTTCCGTAGTGATACTGCCTTGGAAACCCAAGAAGTTGCTATGAGTCAGAATAGACTCAAAGGTAGTGAGTTTGTTTTTTGGTTTTGTCTCACTCATATGAAATAAGCTAATATATAGAAATAAAGGGAGCTCTGGTAGCATAGTGGCTAAGATACTTGCCTGCTAACAGACGGCTGGCGGTTCAAACCCACCTGCCACTCCTCGGAAGGAAGGTTGGGCAATCCTACTTCCGTAGTGATACTGTCTCGGAAACCCAAGGAGGGGCCGACTCGACGGCACATAACAACAACAACAACAACATAGAAATAAAAGATTATTTGTGGTTATCAGGGGGTATAAGGGAGGCAGGAATTTTTGTTTGGGGAGCAATGAGTTTATGTTACTGGTGATGGAATGATTTAGATGTGAATAGAAATAATGATGACACAACGTGAAAAATGTAATAAATATCATTGAGTTGGAAATGTGGAAGCTGCGTTGGTGTGTAAGTTTTACCATAATTTAAAAAGGCGGGGTGGGGGATAAAAGAAAGCTATCATAATTAAAATAATGTGATGTGGATGTATTAATAATTGTTAATGCTTACTTAATGTGCTCAATATACCAGGCACCACTCTAAGTGCTTTACATGTGTGTAATGGATTGAATTGTGTCCCCTCAAAATATGTATCAATTTGGCTAATCCATGATTCTCAGTTTTATGTAATTATCCTCCATTTTGTGATCTCATTAATTACCCTATGAGTTGTAAATCCCAACTTTTCATTCAGTGGGATTAGAGGCAGTAATGTTAGTGAGGCAAGTTACAATCTCCAGGATTAAGTTGTATCATGAGTCAATCTCTTTTGAGATATAAGAGAGATTAAAAAGTGAACAGAGAAGGAGGGACCTCGGTACCACCAACAAAGAAGATCTAGCAGCAGTGTGTCCTTTGAACACAAGGTCCCTGTGCTGAGAACCTCCTAGAACCTGAAGACCCAGAGAGAGAGCTGAATGCCTAGATCATCAAGGTATGCTGAGCCCACAGATGTTGAAAGGAGATAAGGTCCTTCTCCCAGAGCCAACAGAGAAAGAAAGCTTTCCCGAAGCTGGCACCCTAAATTCAGACTTCAAGCCTCCTAGACTGTAAGAGAATAAATTTGCTCATTAAAGCCAGCCACTTGTGGTATTTCTGTTATAGCAACACTAGATGACTAAGAGAATATATAACTCATTTAATCTTTATAAGACAGGTACCTATTAGCAAAGACACAGAACAGAGACACAGAAGGGATAACTAACATGCCCCAAGTCACAAAGCTCATAGGTGGTCGGGGTATGGCATCAAGAATTTTAGCTCCAGAGTGCCTGCCCAAATGCCACATGATGTTACCCACCAGCAGACACAGATTAGATGGCTGGGTCTATGGCTAGGCTGATAGAACAGAACATGGGGGTCCTAAAGAGTCCCAATCAGGTCAAAAATCATGTTATTATGGTCAGGTGCCAGTGAGTTGGCCCCCAACTCAGGGCAACTCCATGCACAGCACATGGAAATGCTCCTTGGTCCTCCGCCATCTTCATGATGGCCTGGAGATTGGAGAATATTCCATTGTGAGCCACAGGGTTTTCACCGCCTGATTTTCAGATTGCCACCCCTTTCCTCCTAGTTCATCTTAGTCTGGAAGCTCTACTGAAACCTGTTCAGGATCCTAGCCACACATACGCTCCATTGACAGATAGGTGGTGGTCACACTTGAGGTGCATTGGTCTAGAAGCAAACCCAGCTCTCACTCATGGGAGGCAAAAGTTTTACCACTGCAGCACCAATGCCCTCCACATCAAATTCGCAGTCTATCATAAAGGTACCCTCACAAACAAACAGGAATTAATACACGGTACATGAAAATTTTCCAAA